CATACCGGTAATTTTAGAAATCCCTTGACAACGGGAATATGGGAGACATGAAATTGGGGAGTAATCAATTTGTTTAGGAAATCATTTGTTTAAAACAGTTTAGGTAGAATTTTCAAAAGATTTCCAACAAAATTTCAATAACAGATTAAAAAAAATTGCCGAATTGAGAGTGGCTTTATTTGTTAGATTTCTTTTGGGTTTACCTGAAAGTGAAATAGGTGAGAAGGGTTGGGAAATGCAGTTTCGTGATGTTGAACATAGATCCTTAATTTATGTAGCAGTGAGAGTACAAGTGTTAATAATTCTCCAAAATAGAGATTTTTTACAATATAAAAGAAGAGCAGTGAGATAATAAATATTTATTCTTTAGGACTCGAAAAAAAAAGAATAGGATGTTGGAACAAATTGCAAAAAATTGTAAGAAATTGGAAAAAATTGTAATCTTAATCAACGTCTTTAATATAAAAAAGTATTGTCATTTTTCATATAAAAAAATCAACTTTCACAAAAAAATTAATTATAATATAAAGTTAGCATAAATATTAAAATTTTAAATTTTAAAAATTTATTGTGGTTACGTTTCACCTCAATTTATTTATGCAGTATTTACTATTATAAAAAAATATATTTGTAATTACACATTATATATTCAAGGATTTTATTTTAAATATTAGACCTGTCACATAATGTGATCAAATCAATTTTTTTCTTTCATGATTGACATTGTATTTGCATTGTAACTCTTATTTTGGGAATAAAAATATAGATCTCATATTTAATACATTTTTATGTTTTACTCATAGTTTTATATTTTTCTCTAAAATATTTTGACTTTCAAATTTTTTTATAAATATTTGAAATATGTTTTCCTCATATCAATTTAATTTAAAGAGTGTGAATCGTAAAAATAGTGACATGGGAAAAAATGAAATAGTTTGTAAACAATAGTTATGAAAATAATAATTGTAATAATAATAATAATGAAGATAATACGAATAATAATTATTATTATTCAAATTATAATTGATGGTGTAAATTAACCACCAGATAAACAGTACTAGACCGAGTCTAGGACTGTTTACTGGATTCGAAAAAGTGAAGAATAGTTAACACAAAGGTTAACCGGGGGGACAGTAGGTGGAAACACATGTAGCTCAATTTTTATTAAAATATAGTAAAGTGTACGGGAGCTATTACTCAAGGGTTAGAGAGAAGAATTCAGATCCCTTCATTTGAGTGTTGCACTGGTATTTATAAGAAAGCTAGAGGGAACAAGGCTCAACGCACCCATGTCAGGCCACATCCTTTGATGGCACGAGATAACTGCATTTTGTCCCTAAGAAGCTTGTGATTTTGCTATGAAGGTGACTTCTTTGTCGCATAGCGTGTTGGGACAGATTGTGCGAATATCTTCAATGATCTTTCGTTGAAAATCGGTAGCTACCGTCCAAATGACCCTAGAGTTATTCGTGCCGACACTTTTACATCATAATAACCTACCCGATAGGTTTACCTTTTATGTTTTGAATGGTCAGAATTCCGCCATCTCGAAGTCAAATACTCTGACCGGTGGGTTTATATACGGTACCGCTCAACTTTTCCGTTCTTGACCGGTGGCCTATTTTTATTTAAATCTTCCATGCTGTCATGTCTGCAACTTGACCGGTTACTTTATGCTGACCCGATTTTGGAACGGCCCCGGGTGGAATACACCCATCAATAATGATAATAAGAACCAAATTAAAAGTACATCATTTTTAGAGTAATTATTATGGGGAGTAGAAAAGGTTCGAAAGAAAGAAAATAGTTAGAAAAAACCAAAAAATAACTGAAAGAAATGAAGAAATTGTAATTAAGAATTTAAGTTCTAAAGAACGGGCTTTAAGAATGTTTTGAGAAGATTGACTCACCATATTACTATGGTGGTTCAAGGACTTCTGAGTTTGTAAATGAACTTCTTCCTTCACGTTTGGTTGGTTGGGTACTTGGGTGTGAAGGGGTCTCTCCTTATTTATATTCCTCCACCATTGGGTAGGTTGAGATTATAGTCTTCCATATCTTTAAAGTTTCTAATCTCTATAGGTTAGGAAGAGGAGATTTGTTGGGTTCCTTTCTTAATTAGAGAGATTCTAGAAAAATCTAGGGCCTTCTTGAAAAGTGTAGAATTTTCTAGAATGATTGGGAAAATTTTATAGAAGTGTAAAATTCTCTAAAAACTTACTGTGAAAGCTTCTATAATATTCAAGAAAAGTGTGGAAACTTCTAAAACCTTATCAAGATGTATTTTCTTTTCTTCAAAGACTTTACCGATCTAATGGTATTTTATGTTAAATTACAGAATAGCACAAATACTACTCCCTCCGTCCTGTTTTAAATCGCCCGTTTTGACTTTTGGACATATTTAAGGAAAATTAAAAATAGAGTTGATTTTTCGAATTTGTCAATACTTTTTAGGAGGGATGGTGATGAATAAGAATATAATGTGGAGAAGATTGACTTATTTTAGAGGTAGTTTAGGTATTTTATTTTTAAAAATTTACGAAAACAACTAACATGCAACTTATTTTGGAGCAGAGAAAAAAGGAAAAAAAGCAATTTAAAATGAGACGGAGGTAGTATCATTTAGGAGATAAAAAAAGAAATTAATACTCTGTATTTTGACAAAGATACGCACCATTTAGTGCCTCTTCTAGTAACCAACCTTGTTGCATTGTTGTCGTGTTATTATTCTAATTGTTGTCATCATGGCAGCACAACCTTTCTCATTGGACCGCGCAAGCAAATAAGAATGATGTTTGACACAGTTCGTGTTTTTGCCACAGTAATTTATGTCACCTGCGTCGTCTTAACCCTTGTTTGTGCGTTACTGGTAAGGTTTGAAGAAGTGTCCCTCTCATTTTATGCTTCATTACCAAATACTCCCTTCCTTCTCCTAAGATGTTCTCATTTTGACTTTTGGTGGTTTTTAAGAAGAGTTAAAAAAAGGTGAAAGTTTACCATAATACCCTTAATGAAAAATGGGTGGAGGGGTGCGTTCGGGTCGGGGCAGGGTGGGGGGTTTACCGGGGGTTAGGGGGGGTAGGAACAGTCAATTTTACGAACGGAGCACCGGAGCGCCCCCGGGTCATCCCATGACATTGGTTCCCAATGTCATGGGAACCTTGCCCTTCTTAAGTAAGACTAAGCCTTCTTTGTTTTCATATTTTTTATCTACCATTTACTAAAATATACGGAGTACTTCCATTCCTAAAAACTTTCCTCTTTGATTTACCCTTTTTTCCCTAAAAGACGTTCAACTTTTTTAAAAAAAACAGGCGTTTAACTTTTTACTCCATCCAAAAAAAGGACTTTTAGTTATTGTTTATATGTCAAACTTACTCTATTTTACTCATCTTTGCCGATTATTTGTTCAAAAACAACTACTTCACCACTTCTTTAAATTTCTAAAACATTTGATATAATTTTTAAATTTTTAATTTTATACCAATTTTACCAATTTTTACTTATATTGATTTGAAAATAAATCCTTCAAATATCATAAATCAAACAGGAGCCTCATTTAGGGACAGAAGTAGTATTAAAACCCATTTTTGCCCCTACTAATTCTTAACTTAGCTTACTTATCACGTCACATCTATTCATTACTAATCTACTCATCACATTTTACATTTACCCATCATCACATTCAGGATAATTTGAAAACGTCAAAACACAATATTCCTTCTTTAAATTATCTAAAAGTCAAAACGAGAAATATTTTTAGAAGTAGAGGAAGTACTCCGTATAATATAAATAACACGGAAAGTAAACTTTAACATCAATATGCATGCAAAACATTGTTTCTTTTAAATTGATTTTATTTACAAATTGATAAGAAAATAAAAAGTACAAATTACATCTTTAAAAACTACATCACCCCTACATGAATAGTTCTACGAAACAAGTAGTGACAAAAATATTTTATTTAACGAAATGGACCATGAAAAAGCATACACAAAAAAAGTTATTGGAAGCTGATATAGTAAGGTCATGTCTGAATATTTCTTATCTGATTGGAATAAGTTCTAATCTGATCTGGTCTGATATGATCTAAATCCAGTTATATTTAAAGCTATTTGTGATCTGATCTAGTCTCATATGATCTAATCTAGCCTGATCTTATTCCAATAAGAAAAAGTAATAAGTAATAAGAATAAGTTAAAGAGAACATTGCCTAACTAAGCCAATTTGGGGGGAAGGTAGGTCATTTTCTCTTCACTTGATCTGATTGGTTCTAATCTGATTAGAAGTTCTGAGTTGATCTGATTTGGTCAGATATGACCTGATCTCAATGTAGTTATATTTAAATGTATTTCTAATCTCATCTTGTCTGATTTAATCTGCTTTCAATAAGAAAAAATAATAAGTAAAAAATAAGTTGAAGAGAACATGACCGCAGTATGTATTTTGATATGAAGTATTTTATTAATTTTTTAGTTCAAAATGTAAGTGCTTGTATGAATTTAAGTACACCAAGGTTCCAATGACATTGGAATCCAATGTCATGGGATGACCCGGGGGCGCTCCGGTGTCCCGTTCGTAAAATTGACGGTTCCTACCCCCGGTACACCCCCTCCCCGCCCCGACCCGAACACACCCCCTACCCCCGTCAATTGCACCCCACAAGTTAATTTTGACTTTTGACTCAAATTTTGACTCCATAGTCAAAATCAACTTGTGGGGTGCAATTGACGGGGGTAGGGGGTGTGTTCGGTCGGGGCGGGGTGGAGGGATTTACCGGGGGGTAGGGGGGTAGGAACCGTCAATTTTACGAACGGACCGAGGCACCAGAGCGCCCTCGGGTCATCCCATGACATTGGATTCCAATGTCATTGGAACCCCACCCATTTAAGTATTCAAAATATAAAGCTTATAATCAGTTGAGTCGACCCAAACATGCTAATGTTGGATCAGGAACATACAATTTTCAATCCGAACTACTTTGTAGCATTTACACGAACGCGATGTAATCCGAAAATGATCAACTTGTACTGAAATTTAAATTTACCGACCGATTTGTCACGCTTACTCTTGATATATGTAACTAGTTTGTATGAGGTTTATCTTATACTGCTCGGTAACTTAATTGTTGAATGCAGTTTCATAGCATGATATTGTCGATAGTTGCCATCATATGCGAGGTTCTTGCCCTTATATGGTAAGTTCTTTCTGCTTCTTTTATTGTTTACCCGAATTGAAGCTTTTCAGACAAATGCAGAGACATTTTTTTTAAATGAAATTGGTGTAACTTGGATAGTTGGATGTACACTTTTTGATAAAATGCAAGTAAAATGTTACACAATTCATTCTTACAAAAGAGTTGTTTCTAAACTTATTTGTGTCTTGAGAAATTGGTCCAAATTGTAAAATTGATAAAATAGAAGAAGCAAAGTTGCATCATATGTAATGTTCGTTAATGAATAAAAAATTTCCAACTAATTTAGATATTAAATTTAATTAAACCAGTGATGAGTAAATTTAAAAACCAAACCACTAATGGACTGTGCGAGATTGTGATTATTGAATAACAGAGTGTCAACAGGCTTACAACCGAATAAATTTGCCTCCCAGATAATATCAAGAGCATACTTACGTTGATTAAGGACCATGCTTTCTAGGGAACGAGCACACTCGATGCCTAAAAAAATAAGAAAGCGGGCCTAGATCCTTGAGATGAAAACAATCATTCAAATATTTATTGAATGACGAACAGAAAGAAGAATTATTACCAGCAACAAGAATGTCATCCACATAGACCAAAACCACGAATATATCCGGCCCATGACAAAAAACAAAAAGAGTATGGTTTGCATGAGCCTAATGAAAACTATAACGATATAAAGCCATACAAAGTTTAGTGAACCAATTTCTAGGATACTGACGGAGCCCGTATATTGATTTGCGCAAACGGGAAACCTTCCTTGGAAAAAGATGCTCATACTCGAGAGGAAGCTTCATATAAACTTCTTCACGAAGATCCCCATGTAAGAAGCCATTATTGACATCAAACTGATCTCTCTGCCAACCCCTAGCAACTGAGACAAACAATAACACACGAATTGTGGCTAATTTAACCCTAGGAGCAAAGGTATCAATAAAGTCAATCCCAAACTCCTGATGATTCCCCATTACAACCAAACGAGCTTTATCCCGCTTCTTAGTGCCATCAAATTTGTATTAGGTCTTGTACACCCATTGACACCCCAGGGCACGCTAATTAGGAGGGAGGTCAGTAATATCCCGAGTATGATTGCGCTCTAGAGCTAAAAATTCCTGAGCCATAGCCTCATGCCATTAAGCATACTGAACAACCTCTTTGAAGATTTTAGGAACAGGAGAAACATCAATCACTCCCAAGAAACTTTTGTACCTGTCATGCAATTTGTTATCATGAACAAAGCGAGTAAGAGGGAACTAGGTACCTGATGAAGATGAACTTGATGATGAGAGAACTGGAGTGACAACTTTGGCGGAATGAAGGACATAGTCACTAAGATGGGAGGGAGGACATCGAGTACGTGGTGGAAGAAGGGGAATTGACAGTGGTGGACAGGGGGGCTCTTTAGACGAAAGAGGAGATGGGAGGACGAAGGGAATGTCCTCGATTTGTGAGGAAGAAGACGCTGGAGGAGAAGACAGTGGTGAGGAGGTGGTTGACAGTGTATGTTGCGACTGTGGGGTGGTGGGCAGAGACGTGGCTGGAGGAGCCCCTGTCGACGGCCTCGATGGATCGACAGTGGCTGGAAAATCCTCTGTGGACGGTGTTAAGACGGGTATGGGTGACAGAGACCGTGTGGGTATTGTAAACAAAAATTGGGTTTCATCAAACGATATATCCTGAGTGTGAAAAAATTGATGATTTTGGAGATTGTATACTCTCCATCCTTTGGTACCGTAAGGATAACCAAGGAATATACATTTCACACTTCAGGGAGAAAATTTATCTAAGGGTTTTGGCATTCGACGAATAAAAGACAAACAACCAAAGACACAAAGATAGCTTAAATCTTGTGGTTTAGAGGATAAGATTTCAAGAGAAGACTTACCCCTAAGAAGTTTAGGTCTCGTTGGTTATCGCTTTTTCAAATCATCCCATAACTCATAGGCAATAGTATAGGATACGATACTCGGTTGGATTGATTCATCAACACTATTGAAAATCCAGCTACAAATCATCTGATTATTAGCATGCCAAGTAGATAAATCAGGTTCTTCTCTGGGTTTGGGAACTCCCACAAAAGATAAGAAAACAGATTTAGCACGTCCACCTAACACATTACGTATTGCCTTTTCTCAAATATCAAAGTTTTCACTTTTCAGGAGATATTTGGTTAAAGAATTACCGAGACCTTCTAGAGGATGAAAATAATAAATACTACCTTCATCCCACTCTCTTTGTCCACTTTTGACTTTTGGAATTGTTTATCTAAGCACTTTGACTCATCAAATTCTCTCAATGTGTAAGCCTAAATATAGTCATGTGTGATCTTGTTTGATTTGTCTTAACATATAGATTATTAATATATAATTTCTATAATTTTTTAATATACAAATTACAAGATAAAATGGATTAAAGAAGTGCATTGGATGGTGTGACAAAAGGTAAGTGGACAAAGAGAGTGGGACGGAGGGAGTAGAAGACTAAAATACAAGTAAAATATTGAAAAGAGTAAATTTCATAATTGGTCCTTTATAACAGAGGGGTTTCCATATTTAGTCCTCTATTATCAAATATTACCCCTGTAGTCCTTTTTTTAAGGGTGCCTTTCCACAAATAGTCCTCTTTTGATCTTCTGTCATGTTGGTATTAATTTAAAGGCTAAAAGTATAATTTGACATCAACATTATGTCTAGTGACGTGTTCTGATATTGGTTAAGTGGATAACACAAAATAATGAATATGATTGTGGGCTACGATCCCGACGAAAGACCACATTTGTAGACTATGGTTGTAGTAGAAAACGACTGTAATTTACAAACGGATGAAATATAACAGCCTTTGGAATTGTGTATGACAAAAAAGATATATTATCATTGCGAAATTACAATTTTAGTCAAATTAACACCAACATGACAGAAGAACAAAAAAGACTATTTGTGGAAAAGATATTCATAAAAGAATGACCACTAGGATAATATTTGATAATAGAGAACTAAATAGGGAAACCCCCCTGTTATAAAGGACCAATTATGGAATTTACTCTATTCAAAATTTACCAAAATAGGAGTTCCATGTATTTATCCCGAAATAAGAGTTAAAATGCACATGCATAGTGTAACATTACCACTGTGTGAACTTCTATTTAGGGAATAAAAACATGAAACTCCTATTTTAGTACTTTCACTTTGTTTTAATTCTATTTAGGCTGATTTTTTTTGTACACTATCATTCTTTCCACCACACTCTTCTTGATGTGGATAACAAGAGTGGAGAGTTGATAAGTGTATGGTAAGGAGATGATTAGTTCTGTACAAATAAAAAATACACTTGACATACCCCTAACATTATTTTAAATTATTTGTCCCTTTTTCAGGTATGGTCTAAGTTACATCCCCCTTGCTCGTAGGATGGTTTCAAATATGATAACTCGCATTTTTAATAGAGCATCTAAATAGTGATTCAGTCGTTGCAAATTGAGTGGATATACATACTCCCAAGTGTTTATGTAGGTAGCCTTTTTGGAATATTTAAAAAGATGGTTATTAGCTTTGAACTATCATCTAGCCGGGTTTAAGGGGGTCCTCAGGAATGAGATTCATCCTTTTTGAACGATTTCATTTATTGTTAACAATTTTGCTCGAGCATGGCAAATTATATTTTATATCTTGTCATACTTGATAGCCTTGGTTTGCTAAACCTCATGTTTTGATGTTAACAAACAATACAAGAGCTAACGCTTGTTTAAGTGTTTCAGGTACAGCAATAATCCATTAAGATTCGGTTCTCAAGAATGAAGTCGAAACACTAAACTAACGTAGAATATAGGTAGAAACGATGTAAGGATATGACTTTATATATCTATATTCACAAGCTCAAAAGCACTCCCAAAATATGTTTAAAACCTTCTTATAATCATTTTCAAACATCTAAAAGGTTTTGAACTAAATTGGAAATGATTTGGACAAAAATATAAAATATCATCAAAACAGTCAAAAGGTACCTTATATCGTAAGGGGTACCGTGAGTCAATCTGAGAAGGTACCTCCTACCATCAGCTCAGGACCTCCCTACCATAAGGGGTACCGTGAGTCAATCAGAGAAGGTACCCCCCACCGTAACCCACATGTAGGTACCGACCGTAAAAATGGAGATCAGCTCCTTTTGCACTATGGCAGTACCCCCTATCGTGACCACACAACAGGTACCGACCGTTACAGCAAAGAAACAGCCTAAACACTATTGTAACCGTACCCTATACCGTTTCAACAGTACCCCCTACCATTACTGTTGGAGAAAAAATAAAATTCTGGATTTCAAATCTTTTTTTAAACGAAAGTACAATTTTATTACTCCTCAACCCATGACAAAGCAATGTTACAACTGAAGTTTACAACAAAGCTTTTTTATAAATAAGGAAACTTCTAACATGAAAATTAATATAAGCTATTGTTTCCTTCTCCTTGATCTCCTTGTGGTGGATCTAGCCATTTCTTGCTCTCCAAATGCCATAACAACATGCGGCCCAAACTGCCCAACTAATTCCTCTCTTCCTTTTGTTTTGAATTTTCATTGTCGTATCTCCAACCTCCCCAAAGCCCCTAGCAACAATTCTCACATCAAACCTTGGTAGGATGCTATTAGAGATTTCCTTTGCATAGTTGCAGTTCCAAAACAGATGGTCAATGTTTTCAGGTTCCAGTCCACATAGAACACAAGTATTATCAATCGGCATAAATTTGCATAACCTGTCTTCGGTCTGAATCTTGCCTTGCATAATTAACCAAAAAATAAATTGGAATTGAGGACAGGTAAGGGTATTCCATACCCACTCTTTCTAAGGGGGGCTGTTTTTAGTCCCTTGAAGCCACTGGTAGCCCTTTTTTATCTCATACTCACCATGTATAGTCATGCCATCAAATATTCCTTACTTTAATCATTTGTTTCCAATAGTGGCATGTATCCAACTTAGGAATATACTCCCAAAAGGTGGCTGACTTGATGTATCGGCTATGGATCCATTTCACCCACATGATGTCCTTATTCGCCACATCCCAATTCAGTCTCATTATAGCAGCCTTGTTCCATAATTCCGGTTTTTAAGACCTAGGCCCCCATATTTCTTTGGTTGACATGCTTGATCCGAATTTACCAATGGGGTTCTTTTATACTCATGGGTACCTGCCCAGAGAAAGTTCTTGCATAGACTTTGTATTGTTCTTATCACTTTCTTAGGCAGTATAAATATTCTAGACCAGAATGTAACCTTATAAATTCCGGATTTCAAATCTAATCACATTTAATTAGTCCAAATCCTTCCAAATTTGTCTCCAACGACTAAATAACATTTTCCACTATGAATACAAGTTTAATCCTTCATATTTCAATAAAAAACAAAGCTCCAAACATCCTCTCTGTATATTATAAGTGTGTTCATTCTTTTATTCATTATTTTCAATATTTTGGCTATTTTAAGAGCATTAAATTCCTAATTTTTATACACACACTTTGAGCTTGTGTTTTAGATATATGCTCTCATATTTATGAGTTTATATTGTATTTTTGAGAGAGTATAATTTTATTCTACACCGGCTAAGTTTTGTTCTTTATTCATTTTTATATTCAAGCCATTGTGTAGAACCCTTGTTTGTGTTCTTCAAACACATCTTTATACAGTCGAGAATAGCCATTAAATTCTCACGTTGTAACGGTCGAGGATAGTCGTATAAATCCTTGGGTAGAAGGTTCAAGGATAGCCTTGTAAATCCTTGGGGGAAACGGTCGAAGATAGCCGTGAAATCTTCATTGTAAAAGGTTCGAGATAGCCGTAGAAAAATCTCGGAGTGAATCCTATTGGCAAGGGTTGTTTGCCAAAACTAGTGCGGTGCTTTGACAAAGTTCAAGAGACCGGGACTTAGTGGATTCGTAAATCCTTAAAGAGGAGCCTTAAAGTACTGGAGTAGGGGTTTCCTGAACCAGTATAAAATCGGTGTCTTTTACTTTACGCTTTTATTTCTGTGTTTTACTTATTGCTTCCGCATTTGCCAACGCCGCTTTTATCAAACTCTGAAAAGTTTTTAAATGCCTTATTCTCCCCTTCTAAGGCGTGGACACAACGACTAACAATACTTTGTCCCTATTTCCTTTTCTTTTCAAATCATTCCCTAAAAATATCTTTATCATGACTAATAGACTTTGATCTCCTTAAATATTATGACATTATTGTAGTAGTTATCATGTTATATTTTGAGAAACCAAACTATAAGAGACTCTTGCTCTGTTAAGAACTCGATCTCCCCTGTAACACCCCACCAACCCGCGTAACCCGAATAAATAGGTTAGCAAATCAGGTTGCTACTAAATTTGATATCTACATACAATATTTTTCCAAGAAATTAAAAACATTTAATTCAAAACCCAAACATTTCAAACACCATGTAAATATTTATCGGAGTTTGTACAAACAGTGCGGATGCTAAGTTATTATTTATACAAATATCACCTGATATTATTAATAGAAAATCATTAAAATTAAAATGCATCATATTAATCCACCATTTTAATTACTACATCCCGACATCTCCACCATCATGCTACCATCGAGAATGGATTACAAATTCATCTTTTCCATGATTATCTACTTGTAGCAAAGAGGAAAAATGACTACACGCTCAGCAATGAAGTTGCGTGAGAAATATCTAACATTCGAAAAGACACGAAGGCGAATATGCTAATTCGCAATTATCACATGATATCATACACATAAGCATAACATATACAACATCACAAGTACCACATAACAGTGTTCATCATTAACAAACATAAATATTACCTTCACGATACTTTAATCCTTTGACTTTAACTTCTTACATGGCTCATAACCTACTATAGGTTAAGACTAATTTTTATAACTTTCCTATTGAGTCATGACCTTCCCCTTCCAAACGAAGGTCACACTCAAACCAACTCGGGAGTTCCTCGTTGGGTGGTGAGATCCATGTTTCCTTCAAAACGACAGTTCATAGATCCCACGTGCGCACATCTTTACCATAATAGCCATTGGACAGAACATGTACCACGTGACTTCTAACCTATTTATCCTTACGGCATACCTTGCCACTATTCTTTTCAGGTCACTCCTAGAGTTCCTTTAGGTAAACTATTTCAATCGCTTACTTCTCCATTCATAAATTTCACAATATTTATCAACCGAGTCAATAGAGCCATCTTATCAATCATAATTCAAATAGTAGCCTAGCGTTGGGTGTGAACATTCATGCTTACAAATCATACAACATACAAGGTCTTGGAGTATATCCTCCACGTTTAAAACAAGAACTAATAATGAATCAGCCTGAATCAACTTTGTTTAGACGGTAGCGGTACTGGCCTACAACCAGACGGTAGCGTGCTACTTTCTGGCAGTAGTGAGCTACCATCAAGTCCCAGAGCAACCCTGGGAAACTAGTTTTGGTTTACCATTTCATTCGTTTAGACAGATCTATATTCCATAACAAATCTATTCAGCCAATGAGACATATTCAATAATCAATCAACACCGAAATCACGTGTTCTACCCTTTTGATTCAACGAACGTACCGAAAGTAACAATCAAACATTTTCAACACGTATTTCATAAAAATCAATCACGATAACAATTATGAACGGAATTTCAAATCAGATGCATATTCTAGTGTTAGATGTCCACGTACTCACCTCGATTCGTTTTGATTCAATTAAAGAGAACCTTGTTCAAACGGAGTGTCACCCGGGGTTTGCATCGTAGCTACCAAATCCCTCACCCCCCCCCCCCCCACCCGCAAGTCGATGGGGTCTCCCTGGAGGAAAGGAGAAGAGAACCGAGGTGCATTCCACCTTGCCGCTATCAATTCGACCGCCGCTGCCAAGGAACTGCCGTGACAGCAGCCTCACTGCTGCTCCGATTTGTTCATTAGATCCCAGAAGTCATGGGGTCATGTCTGCCACCTTCGATTCTGCCCGGATGTTGATGGTGATCTCCATCGCTGCTGAAGGTCTCTGGATTTGATCTTGGCCGTAGGAGAAAGTTGTTAAAGAGATGTCATCACTGCCCCACCTCGCCTCTGCTGATCGCCTAAACCCTAGCCGGAGAAGAGGCTCGCCGCTGGGTGGAAATGGCTAGCCGCTGCTGTAATTGCCGGAATATAGAGGGAACAGGGTGCCACGATCGGAATCTCCATCACTAGCTGGAGTCGCTAGCCTGGTCGCCGCTATGGGATGGGTTGCTGGTCGCCGTTGCAGCATCGTGATCGGGAGATCCGTTGTCCTCCCTGCGGTTGTGTCGCTAGATCAAAGGAGGGAGGTCAGGCGGCGGTGACGGATCAAGGAAGACGAGGAAAGAAGTTTGGTCGCAGTTCCTTTTATATATTTTAGTGTAATTGGAAAAACTACGACCAATGCTATCCTAATAATCATCAAAGATTGAGTTTGTTACGATATAAAACCCGTTACACCGGGGTTCCAAGGGGGCAGCGCCCCCGAGTAGGGTTCAAGGGGCGGCAGTCCCTGCGGGGTCCTTGGGCTCGGTGCTATGTTAAAAAATTCAATTAGAATCTTAATTTCGAATTTTCTTTAAAAGAAAATTCGATGGATAAGACCGAATTTTGAAGAAGAAACTTCCGCGCGAAGAGTTGCGTGCTTTGGGTAATAGCCGCGAATGGACAGAAGAGGAAGAGTGGGGATCAGATATTTTAGGGGGACCCGTACCAGCTTAAAGCAAGCCAAAATCTGTGTCGTTAAGAGTATAAAGCAAGAACTATGAAAGCTCAAAATAGGCTAACTTAAAACCTCACTACAACCAAAATATTCAATCTGAAAGTGTTTACACAACTCTCGATTCATCCAAGTTATCATTAATTTACCCAACATTCCTGAACTGTTGCGGACGCTTCTTCGTCCGATCGAAAGAGGAAGGAGGACGATGGAGTATTTGCGTGTTCGTGTCGTGCAGATCGATGAAGAAGTTAGTGCGAAGATGTGCTTCCATTCCACACCACTTTCTTAATAAATAGTTACTCCCTCCGTCCGAAAATGTTCTTCATATTTGACTTTTCGTGGTCAAAGTTTGTAAATTTTGACTATAATTTGTGAAAAAAATACATTGTATTATAATTTGATTTTAATATCAATATATTCATAATGATATGTAGTTTTTCAAATATCAATTTTTTTATAAAATTCTTCTATGTATAGATATAGATATTAATAGTCAAAGCGCAATATTGGAGAGCGTGAAAAGTCAAATAAGAAGAACATTTCCGGACAGAAGGAGTACTTTAATAATGTTGTTATTATAAATATTTCCTTTAATTTATTCTATTGTATATCTATTTTGTGCATAACTTTTTATGCACAAGTCTGATTTTGGCAAGTGATGTGTCATTGGTAATCCTTTTTATTAGATTTATCCAATGACACCAAAATTGAATGAAATATTTGACTTTATAAGTAGTTTATATTTTTGGCTACAAAATAAATATATTTAACTTATTTTAAAATACGATTATCTATTAAACTGGTTTTTAGAGCGTTACATTTCTTCCTCCCGTAAAAGGATTTTGTTCTCAAAATTCTTCTAAGGTAAAGAGTTTAACAAATTTGCTTCATATTACTGCTATCGGTAGGTGAATAGCTTCACTATTCTCAAGGGAAAATTTCTCTTTGTATACCGTTCAAGGCACTATTATAGAATTTTCGTATTGGTGTTTCATTCGGGTCATATCGCAAGTTCGTGAGGTTCATAATTCGGTCTTCCTTGAGTTTGCTTTCAACGACAACGGATGGAATGCCTCCATAGTGTGTACAGGCAACACCTAGTATATACTCCATGTGTATGTGTGTATATATTTATTTATTTATTTAATACCATCAATCCTCAAATTCATAACAATAACAATTCATAAGGGTAGACAATTGTTAAATTCATAAGTTCATAACATTTCAAAATCCATGAAAAAAAATCTCAAATCAAAATTCAAGCTTCAAAGTACAAAATAATAGAAAATACTTAAAGTAAAAAATTCAAATTAAGTAACATATCATATTAGGAGCCTAAGAGAACTGAAAAAAGAAGAAATTTGAAAGGATAATGGTCTAATGGATTGACTAGTGAGCTTTGGGCTATTACATTCTAGGCTTGGATTTATTGGATTATTAAAAAATTAATATTTTATTATATACTGGTCCGGGCCGAAACCAAGAATTCTAAATTTTTGAAGACCGAAGACATGACCTGAATATTCTGGGCATGTCCGAATCGGTCCATTCTGGTCCGGTTCAAGTCTAAATTCCGGTCTGAACCTGTTAATGCACAGCCCTAATCCTAGTCGTTCGTTATAGGGTTAAGTTGCCTTTTAGACTCTCAATTAGGCTTAATTGGTGGCGTTTGTCACTTTTAAGTATTTTTGGTGAATTTGGAATTATTGTGTATTTGCAAATAATCTACGCCAACTATCTTAATGAATAAATACTTCCTCCGTCCCAGAGTATTTGTCCACTTTCATTTTTACCTATCATCCAATACACTTTTTAAATCCATTTTATCTTGTAATTTGTATATTAAAAAATTATAGAAATTATATATTAATAATCTATATGTTAAGACAAATCAAACAAGATCACACATGACTATATTTAGGATTACACATTGAGAGAATTTGATGAGTCAAAGTGCTTAGATGAACAGTTCCAAAAGTCAAAAGTAGACGAATACACCGGGACGGAGGGAATATCTTTTATGCCAATGATCGAATCAAATTAATGATTTAATAGTTGGGATTGAAAACTTTTTAATCAAATTCTTTTAAACTTCTATTGGTTGCTTTGTTTACTTTTAAAATTTATTTTACTATTTTTAATTTTATTTAGCTTTAAATCAATTTCAAAAAGAATGAAAAGAATCTAAGAATTAGTAGTTCACTCTTGCCTCTCTGTGGGATCCACCTAAACTTTCCATATCTACATGCTAATTTAGTTTTATTATTTGGTGTTAAAACCACACACACCAAATTTTTTGCGCTCTTGCCGGGAGGGCAAAGTAGATTAGCTACTTTTTTCCTTAGGTTTTTTAGTTTAGAAGTTTTTGTTTTTTTGTTTTTACTTTATTAAATTTTTCTTTATTTATTTTATTTTACTTTCTTTTATTATTGCATATTGATTTTTTCTAAAAGTTTTTATCTAAAGAAAAACTTAAGGTTTATCTCCTGAAGCATCATTTGATCCTGAAATTGAATCTACTTGCAAGAGGCAGAACCACAAAGGATTAAAGCAAAGTGATCAGAGATCATAGACACGGAGAATCAGAACAACGAAAATAATGGAAATCATGAGGATGATTGAAACATCGCAAACAATCAGAACCTCACCATCTGGAATTTGGCTACACAAAACCTTGGCCATCAACCACTCTGCATTCAATATCCAACACTGAATGCACCCCTAGAGCTTAGGTCAGGTTTGATACAACTTTTGCCAAATCTTCATGGATTCCTAGGAGAGGATTCACACAAGCATTCAAAGGAGTGTCGTGTTTTCTGTTCATACAAAGTTAAGGGCATTTCCATTCTCTCTTGTTGAAGGAGCGAAGGATTTGTTGTATTACTTACCAAGCAGTTACATTACCTCTTAGAATGATATGACCAGATTGTTCTTGAAAAATTGTTTTCCTGCGACCAGGACTCCTGTTTTGCGCATGAAGATATGCGGTATTAAGCACATGGGTAGAGAATATTTGTACGTATATTGAAAAAGATTCAAGAAGCTATGTCAAGTTTGTCCACATCATTAGTATACTTAAGTACAACTGACTCAATATTTCTATGAAAGTTTACAAGTGGTTGATAGAGTCATGTTTGGTTCTACGAGTGGTGAAGCACTAATTGACAAGACACCAGTTTGGAACAAGGAAAGATAGAGTAGCTAAGAAGGTCAAAGTTGGGAGTACACACCTCGAGCAACAGATTGCTACAAAAAATCAACAATTGTCTCAACTCACCACCTTGATGATGGCTTAAATGAATATGCATCAACAAAAAATGGTTTGTGGAACACTTCACTTATAACTGCCCATCACTAGGGTGGACACGGTACCGGTACGGTACTGTGACCGGCAACGATACCGCTGGTACACGCCACCGTACCGCCGGTACCAGGAACCGGTACCGCCCCACTTGGTACCAGTTCCGGTTCCAAATTTTTGGTACCGGTTCTGGTACTGTTTTATTTTTTTCTTAGCTTCTTCCCAAACGGCTACCTGCAAGGCTGCAAACAACAAAAAATAGTGGGTGGGGGCACCTCAATGGTTGTTTAGCCGTTTGAGGTGGGGGAGGGGTGAGGGGGGTGGGGGAAATTCCTATAAATTATCCAATGTTTTTCAAAAAATTCACACTCAAAATCTCAAATACTCAATCCATCTCTCATTCTCTCAATCTTATTATTTTTTTTCAATTTTTATACAATATATATTCATATAATAATATTGATGGACAATAAATCCACCAAACGATCTGATTTACAGAGCGGATCGCAAGAACAAAATTAAGAACAAGAATTCGAGAATTGGATGTGTATTACTAGCTTGATTTAGCTTGAGTTCTCCCCTTTCGGGTCCCTTCTATTTATACACGAGCTCTCAACAATTAAAGTGAAGCATAACCGATGGAGTCTAGCCCGCCAAGGGCGCGATCCCCTTTTTCCGGCTCCGTAACGGCCAATCAGTTCCGTCTCCTTCTCCAGACTGACTCTGCCAGCTGCGCTTGGCCTGAGGTTAACTAGGCCCAGCTCCTTGGGCCGGCCCAGCTTGAGTATTTCACAGGTGCTTGACCCGAAGCTGTTTAAATGGTTCATTTGGGCCGTCCTCTGGATATCGGCCCATCATAAGCCCCCCAACTCCTCAGTCCTCAGCTGGGCCAAGCGGAGGAGTGGGGAGTTTGCAAAGTCCACGTGGACGCTCCAGCGGGGATCCGGGCCGTTCCTTGGGTTCCGCACGACACTTGGGCACGATCTCCACAAATAAGTAATCATGGCCTGCCGATTCGCCTTCCTGTTGTCAGTTAAAAACCGCCGCTGGACGCCATCTCTTCCTTTCGCCTTCTTCACTACCGTTCGTCTGCAACTCCGCTGCTCACCCGACTCGTTCTT